TCCAGGGCAGATTGGCAGAAGCCCGTGGGGGGGTTTCGCCTTCCTCTGCAGCGAGGGGCACGGGTCACTTGCTGGAAGATTCTCTGCACCTTGAAGTCTTTAAATCATGATTTGAGGACTTCAATGGCTCAGACACAGGTTTGTTACAGGAGTGGGTGGGTGAGATTCTGTGGCCTGCATTGTGCAGGAGGTCAGACTAGATGATCATAATGGTCCCTTCTGACCTTAAAGTCTATGATTCTGTGATTCAATACAATGCTGCAAAAAAGGCGAATATGATTTTGGGGGGTATTAACAGAGTGTTCTATATAAGATACAGAAATCCCGCCCTACTTGGCCCTGGTGAGGCCCCAGCTGGGGCACTGTGTCCAGTTCTGGGCACCACCATTCAGGAAGGTTGTGAACAAATTGGAGAGCATCCAGAGGAGAGCAACAAAAATGATCAAATGTTTAGAAAAACCTGCCCTAGGAGGAAAGGTTAAAAAACACACTGGGCAGGTTTAACCTTGAGAAAAGAAGTCTGAGTGGGGACCGGATAACAGTCTTCCAATATGTTGAGGGCTGTTATAAAGAGGACTGTGATCAATTGTTTTCCATGTCTACTGAAGGTAGGACAAGAAGTAATGGGCTTCATCTGCAGCAAGATTAGAGAGTAGGAAATGCTGAGGGGAGTTAAACTCTGGAATAGGCTTCCAGGGGATGATGTGGAGTCTCCATCACTGGAAGATTTTAAAAACAAGTTGGACAGACACTTGTCAGGGCTGGTCTAGGTTTACTTGGTTCTGCCACAGTGCAGGGAGATGGACTTGATGACTTACTTCTCAAGGTCCCTTCCAGCCCGACATTTCTATGATTATCTTTGAGTTGCCTGTGATCACACTTGTTTGATGCATTTCTTCCAATATTACAAGGAGAGATTTAAGGAGCTCAATATCTTCAGTTTATCAAAAACAAGATCAAGAGGTGACTTGATCACAGCGTATAAGTACCTACCTGGGGGCTAAGTGGTTTTTTAATCTAGCAGTGAAAAGTAGAACTAAAACCAATGGCTGGAAGGTAAAGCCAGACACAGGACTAGCCCTAGGCACCAGCAAACCAAGCACGTGCTTGGGGCGGCACAATTCTAGGGGCGGCATTCCGGGTGGGTTGTTTTTGTGTGTGCTTGGGGCGGCAAAAAACCTAGAGCCGGCCCTGGCCAGACAAATTCCATTTAGAAATAAGTCATAGAGTGAGAGTGATTAACTACTGGAACAAACTACCAAGGGACATGGTGGAATCTCCATCTGTTGAAGTCTTCAGATCCAGAATAGATGCCTTTCTGGAAGAGATGCTTTAGTCAAACAGAAGTTATTGGGCTCAATACAGGGGTAATGGCAGGAAATTTACCAGCCTGCCACCTTGTGATGCTGCCTGCAGGTCTTGGGCTGGTGCATACCTGTTGGTCCGGAGGTTAGCACTGCGGGCAGCACCTGATTACAGCTAATGTGTAGTAAAAGCAATGTCACCTCAGGGACTGCAGAGTGGTAGGAGTGCTGATATAATACCAGCTGCTTGTATCTTTCATTGCATTGCTCTGAATTTTTCTCCCTGGTATATTTTCTCTTGCAGATCCCCACAGAGGTAACTATCGAGAGAGACAGAGGAAACCCAAGCCTCAGACTTTCATCACCTGGGGATTTCCTTCTGTCCAGGCTTTCGTCTCACCTTGAAGTTCTCTATTTAGTTTGGCTTTTCATTCATTGTTGTAAAGTGTTTTGATGTGCTAGGTTTGGGGATGTGAGATGCACGGATAGATACAGCTTCAGAGCTTACAACCTCACAGGGAAAGTCCTCCCTTGAGCTGAGAAACAGAGTAAAGGGAAATTAAAACACTAATCTAACTGTTGAGTCGAGCTGGCTGAATAACACAAAGGGACTCACAACTATTTTCAAAATTAAACATGGCAAGTTGGCTTCACTGTCATTCCTGGCATCATATTATTTGTTGAATATTTGAATGCCCATTGGTTTATCTGTGAAAATGTTCAAGAATTCCCAAAATGTCAGGAATTTTAGCACAAGCAATGATTCAGGCATACAGTTGTAGCAGAAAGTGTGCTATTCCCTGTTCCCCTTCTGGTATTCTCCCCTTTTAAGAGTTTCGGTCATCCAATCAGGGAGCTGAAACAAAAGATGTCATTTAGGTGACTAATCACACACCGTGAATAGTTGCCAAAGACTTAATAAAAACCCAACAACTGAGCTTTTGTGGGTATCATCTGTTCAAAGAATCCTTACCAGTTAGAGATATTTACAGAAATCAGGGTCAGCTTGTGAAGGATTCATGAAGAGTGAGATTTTCAAAAGCACCTAGATTTAGGAGCACAAATCCCTTGGAAAGTCAAATGAGACTTGTGTACCTAACTCACCTAGGCACTTCTGAAAATCTCATCTGAAAAGACTCAATTCACTGGATAATTTATTCTCCATGATGTCAAGTATCAGGGGGTCGCCGTGTTAGTCTGTATCCACAAAAACAACAGGGAGTCTGGTGGCACCTTAAAGACTAGCAGATTTATTTGGGCATAAGCTTTCATGGGTAAAAAACCCACTTCTTATTCTCCATGAATAATTCCGCCAGCTCTGCTTTTGCGTCATATGGTTCTCAAGCCAGGGAAATATGCAGTCTGATTAACTCTACCTCATGCCGTGAGATGTAAATCATCAATTCAAGATCATCCCTAGCTTTTCTCTAGCACCGTTGTTACCCAACTTTACAGCCAGAGAGATAGAAGCTAAAAGGAAACTGAAACGAAAGGCTTTGGGCTCATGATCTGCCTTTGGGGGAGGCGTGTATTTTATCTACACGGCTCCTGCACTCTGCAGCAAGTGATGGCTCGATGCAGCGAGTAGAGGAGCCGTCCTTTTTCAAATATCAATTGGAGCATCTGCAAACATGTTCACGATTCTCGTCAATGTGGTTGCTGCAGGCACTCAGCTGCCATAAGGGAGATCTGGGACATTCTCCCTGGGCAAGGTTCACAAAACCAAATCTCAAAAGAGAGACAAGGTGGGGGAGGTAATATCTTCTATTGAAAGACTTCTGTTGGTCAGAGAGAGACGCTTTTGAGCTGCACAGAGCTCTTCTTCAGGTCTGGGAAAGGTACTCAGAGCATCACAGCTAACAGCAAGGTAGAACAGCTTGGTAATACAAGATGGAACAGATTATGTAGCATAGGAGTTAATACATGTTACATGGGATCATTCACGATGAAGAGAAGGCTACTCCCCCTGGCCTGTGCAGTAACTGGGGTTCTTCGAGATGGGTGTCCCTGTGGGTGCTCCACTTCAGGTGATGGTGCGTCCCTGCACCTTTGATGGGAGAATTTCAGCAGCAGTGCTCGTCTGGGTCGTGCATGCGCTGTCCCTGTCTCGTGCTGTTGTCGTCACCTATCTAGTGCATGTGACCAGACCCTCCCCCCCCACCAGCTCCTTCTCTGTGGTACAGTCTGGAATTTGAACTCGGAAGGAGAGGGGAGGTGGGTGAGTGGTGGAGCACCCACAGGGACACCCATCTCGAAGACCCTCAGTAACTGCACCGGGGGAGTAACCTCTTCATTCTGAATGGTCCCATGTAACATGTAGTGACTCCTATGCTAAACAGTCTGTTCCAACTTGTATTTAGCTGCGTCACTTTATCTTTCTCAGACTTGAGGAAGAGCTCTGTGTGGCTCGGACGCTTGTCTCTGCCTCTTCCATCAACAGAAGTTGGTCCTAAAAAAGCTATTACCTCACCCATTTTGTCTCTCTCATATCCTAGGACCAACGCGGCAACAACAACACTGCAAATCTCAGAAGAAGAGTTCTTTGTTGTTTTGAATCATTTTAGCTTCTGTTGATCTGATAAGTGGATTTGATTATAATTATATATAGATATTCAAAAACCCCATGTAGATTCAGATTTTAAAAAGTTCTCAACTTTTACTCTGAAATCTTTTTGGACAAAAGCAGGACAATCCCTTGTTTATTCTTCTCAGAAACTACTGAAGGAGGAGACCAAAAACTACCTTTGTAGATTGCAGCTAACGTGGAGGGCTCTGAATTCAGGTTGCTGCTCATGTGGGAACTCTGGAAATTGGTCTGGATAACTGCAGATTGGGTTTAGGTTGGAGGTTGGGAATGCACGTTAGGGAGAACCACCTCACTGAGTCTGAACTGGGATCCTCTTTCCACAGTATCTGGAGCTGAAGCACATGTCCCAGAGGAGGAAGATGCTTTTCTCTCTTCACTACGTAGACGGGTCTGAGTATATGGAAGAAGAGGTAAATACAAAGCGATTCGAACTCCCCCCTGGAGATTACCTCATCGTTCCCAGCACCGATTCTCCGAATGAAGAATCTGAGTTCATCCTTCGGGTTTTCACGGAGAAGACGCATGCCTTCCAGTGAGTCCTGTTTTCCCATCCGCTCATTTGAAAGTAAAAGATAGAGCTAATCACTAGCACTTGTATAAGGCTTTAAAAATATGCCTACCACACTTTAGTCATAAAGAGCCAAGGAGCTTTTGCATGTTCCCTTGCAGAAGTAAAGTGATTCTTTTCTGTGAGGCAGCAGCCCATTGTGGTTAAGTGACTTGCTAGAGAATATGCAAAAATTTAGAAAGTAAAATCATGGTGTGTTCTGCTGTTCTCGCATCTCACTTATATTGGCACCTGGATCAAATCCTGCCTGTATAAAGCATTTCTAATGTGCCCATTACTTTACTACCTAGATGCTACATACAAATTAATAATTGCATTGATAATGTTTATGCCCAATTTCTCCTCTCCTCCATAAACATTCTTTGACCATTGTTATTTAACAGAGAGTGTGTTTTCCCTTTTTCTCTTTTCTTCTCTTGTCACATCCTCTGTTCATAGCAAGCCATATCAGTTGTTCTTCGGTCTTTGTTATTCAGGGAAGCCTTTTCAGAAAAGATGGGTCTTGCATCTTGCTCTGGAAATGGGTAGGTTAGGGCTTATTCCAATTCTCATCGTATTTACATTTTATTAATTGGATTTATTTGGCATGTTTTTGCTGGACCGTGCCATGCAGAAGATCAGACTGAATTATCATAATAGTTTTTGCTGACCTTAAAATATGTGGGTGAAATTCTGGGCTGAACATCTATCTTTCCATTTTATCTTGCCAACCATCACTATGATATTTGGGCAACTTCCATGTAAAATCAGTAGCAAAGTCCCTAGTGTATTTCATTGCGTCTTTGGCACTTCTCTCTTTTTGGGGGAGACACTCTGCTTGAGGTAGGGTTTGTGGCGGGCAGGGATGAGGTTAATTTGGTTCAGGGTGAGGATTTGAGGGGCTTGGTTGGGGTTGTTGAAAGTAGAAGGAGATATCAGTGGGGTATGAAGGTAGAAAGGGGTGTCAGTGTGGTGAAGCTTTTCAAAGAGGAGAGTTTTGCAGGGTTTCCTAAAGACGCTCAGTCTCTGGATTCACCTGATCTCCTATGGGAGTTGTCTCCATAGCTGGGTCCCCTTGACTCAGACTGCTTTTTCCCCGAGTGCTTTGTCGGGCTTTATGATCTGTATTGTCCCAGAGGAGCGTAGCCGTCATGGTGGGTCATAGATTGAAATTCAGTCTTTGATATAGCTTGGGCTTGATCCATAAATTGCCTGTGGAGGGACTGGAGTGTAGGCCATACATGCTCATTGTGGCCTGAGCAGGTAGTTGCATTCTGCACCGTTGTCCACACATTCAGCTTCAAATACAGTAACTTACAGTGACCCAGCCTGGAGGGGGCAAATGCATGGATCACTGTGGGCAGGTCGTTGGTGGGGAGGAAGGGAGGAAGAAATGCAAGCGAAAAGGCATTTTTAGATTGTTGAGTTAAAAGTGACAACTTAATCTCCATCCTGCAATTTTGTGACCGTTGGGCCTTTCTCTTTGCAATTCCCTTCTCTTCTACAGTAAGTTATTTTAACACCTGCCGCTTCACTGTTGCTGTCTCTGCTCAGTGAGCCAATAGAGGTTCTTATAAGATAGAGACTATAAGACTGAGGATGGAAATCGTCCTTTGTAACTATACCCTCTGCTGCAGAGCCTGAGAACTGCACCAGAATCAGGAGTTTTGTAGCTAATACAGGCAAATATCTGTAATGGACATATGAATCGTTTGTTTTTGTATATATACATGAAATAAAAAATAAGTAGGAGGGGGACAGTTAAGGGGAAGGAAAAGGGGGACAAAATGCCCAAGAAGAGACCAATTTCCTAAGTGACACTGCGATTTTCTTTTGTTTTCCAGTGAAATTGACGATGAAATCTGCGCAGATCTGAAAACTCTTGGGGTAACAGTTTTGCGGAAAATTTATAATGAAAGAGCATCTGTTCCCTTCTCTTTCTGAAGGAAGCAACGCTCAGTGCGGGGGGAGAAATGGGTTAATCATTCATGTGATGAAAAGGTGCATTCTCTGCATAGCTCTCTGGACAGATTCATAGATTCTAAGGCCAGAAGGAACAATTATGATCATCCTCTAACACGGGCCCAAAAATTTCACTCAGTGATTTCTGCATCCAGCCTCATCTCTTGCGGCTGAGCCAGAGCATATGTTTAGAAAGGCTTCCAATTTTGATTTAAAGTTTTCAAATGTTGGCGAATCCACCACAACACGGGGTGAGCTGTTCCAGCGCTTAATCACCCTCACCGTTAAAATTTCCAATTTGAATTTGTCTAGTTTTAAATTCCAACCATTCGGTCACTACGAAATGCCAGAAGCAACCTATCCGGTTCTGATCGTTTCAATGTCTGCACTTAGGGTTGTTTTAAAATTTGTATTTTGTTTTTTTAAACAATTCTTGTAATTATGATTTTTTTCCTGACCCTGAGATTTCCCTGGCAGTTTTTCTAAGTATTTGCCTTTCTGCACCTCACCAAAAGTCCAAATGAATATTTATTTAAAAGACAAGAAAAAGGCAGGCAAAACGGTGACTTTTTAGCGCTGTCACTAGCTAAAGGTCAACAAAAGCCTTGGATTGTTTTCCCAGATGAGCTGATGTAGCATTCAGGGCTAGGCCCATCCTGCTACCTATATGGAGGGGCGGAGGAAGAAGTTTAATGCAGGTGGAAATATTTTGGGGAATAACCTTTGCCCTTCCCCTCCTTCTCCCTCAGATGGGCACCAGTGTGGAAATTGGGGAGGAAGTGGAGAACATCTTTCTGCAGTTTGCAGGACAGGTAAGTGGAAAAGAATCCATTTCAGAAATGTCTTGAATGAGATTGTTCTTGGCGTCCCTTTCTCCACTCAGCCCTTCAGATCAAGGCTGGGCTTCCTTACAAAGATCAGGTTTACTGTTTCCATAATGGGACAGGACTTAATGGCTGCTACAGAATTAAACAGGACTCTCTCCCGTACCTCTGAAAAGCGTCGGCCGTCGGGGTACAGATTGTTCGTCTTAGTCCTGATCTTCAGTCTGGGAAACTGACCCATTGCTGCTAGGGGTTGCCAGCAGCATGCCCCTTTGAACTGGTATTGAAATATGGGCTGGAATAGCATCTACAGCCCTTCTGCACTGGTCATGGGGGCTACTGTGGCCACTGGGTCTGTGTAAACGTGGCTCCCAGAGCCCCGCCCCACTGTGGCCTTCCTTGTTGGCCTGAAAGGGCCAGTGCAGGGAGTATTCCCATGGTGCATGGGGGGCGGGGTGCAGGCAGCCCTATGGGGCCATTCTGCAGACAGATCTCACCACTCTTCCCCATGCAGGTCTTAAGAGATGAGGAGGGCCTTGTGGTGGCCCTTCTGGCCTTCCACTACCTGAAGGGGGGGTTCCAAAGAGGATGGAGCTCGGCTGTTCTCCGTGGTGGCAGATGACAGAACAAGGAGCAATGGTCTCAAGTTGCAGTGGGGGAGGTCTAGGTTGGATATTAGGAAACACTATTTCCCTAGGAGGGTGGTGAAGCACTGGAATGGGTTACCTAGGGAGGTGGTGGAATCTCCTTCCTTAGAGGTTTTTAAGGCCGGCTTGACAAAGCCCTGGCTGGGATGATTTAGTTGGGGTTGGTCCTGCTTTGAGCAGGGAGTTGGACCAACCCTAATCTTCTATGATTCTATGACCCTGACCCCATAGATGAATTTCCCCTGCAGTGAGGAAGTTTTAAGAAAGGCCCTTCGGCGAATGTGCAGCCAGACTGTCCACTGCGCGGAGCAGAAGCTGGGCACAGAATAGGGGGGACACATAGCTGGTTACAGTTCCCACCTTCTCTGCCGCCCCTAGGGGCAGGTGACAGCAGCCAAGGAATGCTCTAACCTGCATCCATTAGCCACAGTTCCCAAAGGCTCATGATCTGGCAGCTGAACGCGGCCATGCCCTTCCCCACACCCTCCACCACTTCCTGCACCGGGGGCTACAGGCAGGGGGGGAGAGGAGCCTGGTGGGGACACCCTCTGGCCAGGGAATTCCCAGCTTAGGGGATGCAGTCAGTCTCTGATATCCCCACAGGATGAAGTGGGACCTAGCGCGTTAACCAGTGCACCTCTTTAAATGATTGACACTTCAGGAAATATTTACAACTTGCAACGTTTTCAAACGTTCCCTTCGGGAAGCTGGGGGCCATGTGATCATGATAACCCCACTCATTCCCTTGTGGGGTACGTTTGCAGGACCAGGAAATCGGTGTTGTCGAGCTCAAAAAGATACTGGCTGTGACCTTGGCAAGAGGTGAGTGTTGAGACGCTCGAGGGCAACAGGGCCTGAATCCTGTTCTATTGACCTCGGCCCGGCCAGCCTGGCTAAGCTGAGATGGCCTTTTGCTCTTGTTAGTCATGGGAGCAAGGAGATTGGAAGATCCCTGACGCTGAGGTGATTCCATTATAGGTTATGGACTAAGGGCTCGATGTGCTGGGGCCTCATACAATCAATCACACCCATGTCAAGCGAGTGCCCCGTTAGTATAAAATGCTGCCACTTCCAAATGGGAGCGTGTTACAGACACTGCGGAGTGGTGAATTCGGCTGGAAAAGCCCGATCGGACCATCCTTAAGCGGAGATAATTTCCACTGACCTCCACAGGACTGGGCTAAATCTCTGTCAATACCTGCAAGTGCGATGACTTGGGTATTTTCTGTGTGGGAAGAGGAAGGGAATGGTTTTTAAAGGGTTTCTAGTTGCGTACATCTCAAGGGCAGAAGGGACCACTGTGAACATCTAGGCTGATCAAGAAGGAAGGTCAGAAGAGCTGACAGGAGGCAGTGTGGCTGTCGCCATGTCAGTCCCAGGATATTTAAAGAGACGAGGTGGGTGAGGTAGTATCTTTTATTGCACCAACTTCTGTTGGTGAGAGAGACACGTTTCTGAGCTTACACAGAGCTGTCAGGAGATACTGCCCTTGACAAAGCACCCAGGAAAGAAGGTGGGATGGGGTGGAGGAGGTATTTTAAAGAATTTGCAAAGCGTCCAGAACAAGAAACAATGCATGACACATAGATACCATTGTATGCCCCGCACCTATCTCTACTCCTATATGTAGATCTGCTATTGAAGTAACAATAGTGGTTTCTATTCCTGTAGCCCCAACGATCCCAAATCTCTTCCCAAGCTCCACTGAAACCCAGGGTTAATTGAGTTCAGCAGAATGGGAATGCTAATTTTCCTCACTGACAATGACAAATACAATTTATTAGTCCCTAGTGCTTCTAAACTAATAAGGCACAATGAGAAGCCTAAACATATACTTGAAAATAAAACATGTATTTGTGTTGCAGAAGCTGATTCAAAACCAGAGAGATTCCAGCTGGAGACCTGTCGGCAAATGATCCGTCTCTTTGATGTATCCTTTGGAAAAATAATATTGCCCAGATATTAAAACCACACATGGCTGGAGATAGATATTAGGCAACATCACGATGAAGTTTTGGGGCTGGCCTGGACAGCATGAAGCCATGCTGAGGATCTGTATTTGGTTTTCCCTGCTAATTGCCTGCCAAGGCTGACTTTAGACCAAGTCTACTCTGGGCTTCAAACCAAGTTTAGGAATCCGATTTGAACTAGAGTCCAGCTAGATTGGGTTCTGTGGTTTGTCTGGAGGCCTGCTAGGACCGTGTCTAGAAGATAGCAGAGACAGGCCCAGACCAAAACCTCCATTCCCAAAATCGCTGAGATTTGCAGGAGTTTGGATCTAAGAACTTGGAGGTGAGGCCCAAGCACAGTTTTCACGGTGTAAACTCAGCTAAGGCCCTGTCCATGCTGATCTGGCTTAACCACATTTAAGCAAATTTGGCAAATTGGAACCTCAGAGCACATGGGCCCTTCTGCTCCGTACCACACCTAGAAGTGCGGTGTCATTGGCGCTGGGCTGCTGAAACCCCAGGGAATCCCGGCTCCGGCTATCTGATAGAGAGACACGCTGCTGGTGGGAGCCTTGTTCGTCCCCTGCTCAGGAGGCAGTGTGCTCTGTTGCACCAGGGGTGGGAAGGAGAGGTGGTGGGGACAGGAGAACATACTTATGGCTGAGGGGCAAGCCCTGGCAGCAGCCATGTCTCCTCCACACACAATGGGCTTTGCTTTCCCTTCATGCTGAGAATCAGTACAGCAAGAACGGCCGGTTGTCCCTGGAGGAGTTCAAGACGCTCTGGGAGAGGCTGAGGGAATGGAAGGTGAGTGTGGAGCAGGGAGGAATCAACAGAGCATAGGGGCTGGAAGCCGCGGGTTGGGTCCGGCAGCTGGAGTGGCGGTACCCAATGCTGACAGCAAAGTGAAGGCAGGGCCATACAGAGACGGTACGTCCACACTGCGATAGAAAACCTGCAGCACTGACTCGCAGAGCCCGGGCTCAGGCTGGAGCCTGGGCTCTGAGACCCTCCCTACTTGTGAGCCCATTTTACAGTCCCGCAGCCTGAGTCCCGCGTGCCCAAGTCAGCTGACCCAGGCCAGCCATGGCCGTGCCGCAAGTCTTTTATCACGCCGTAGCCGTCCCCTTAGAGATGAGACCAAAGCAAATTCGTGGGCCCCGGCACCCTGGAGATTTGGCTCGGCAGCCGAACAGCACAGCTCATACTGCAAGAACAGCCATTGTCAGGGGAAACAATAAATTCACCTCCCTTCTGCTGGTTGCTGTCCAGGGGGGAATTAAAGGACCTCACCCATCTCAAAAGACTGGAGGGATAAGAACAGAGGGATACGTATCGCAGTCCCTTCCAGTCCTATGTTTCCATGATTCCATAACACTGTGTCTTAGCAAACAACCCCTCTCTCATGCAAATTGCTTCTGGCACCTGAGGCTGGAGGGTGCCATTGTCATCCCTGGTGCATGTGATCAGATTCTGGTTTTCTGCTCCTGCTACAGGCCATCTTTACCGAGCATGACAGAGACAAGTCCGGGAACATGGATGCCTACGAAATGCGCCTGGCCCTGGCCACTGCAGGTAAGAGGTGGGGAGTACATGGAGGTAGGAGAATTAAAGTGGGAATGGAGCAAGAACACATTTTCTGTCCACCTGGGACAGAATAAATAGCACCACGTTCTCCGGCTGCGGGTGGATTCATAGGTGTTAAGGCTAGAAGGGACCATCACAGTCATCTAGTCTGAGCTGCCAGAGAATCCAGCCATTAACGTCTGAGAACTAACCAATGCTCACTCAGTGAGTCAGAGCCAGGGACAGAACCCGGGAGTCTCCTCCCCGCCCCTTGCTCTCCGCAGCCTAGGGAGGGAACGTGGTTGTCGTCAGATGTTGGCTGCGTGTGTGTTCTCTCTGCATGTTCCACCGGCTCTGGCCAGACAGCCCGTGCAGCAGGCTCCGATCGAACTGCCCAATAAGCCGACAAGCCTTGGTTTAGTAGCGAAGGCGCCTGGCCAGGTTTATTGCCGACGAAGCACAGTGCTACTGCCCCGGCTCATGGTTACAGGGACACAAACACGTGTATGCCCGTGACAATGGACCGGCTCGGTTAGCGGCAGGACTTTCCACTATCCTCTAGGCCAGACAAAGACCCTCCCTCTGAATAGTATCAGGGGGTAGCCATGTTAGTCTGTAGCCACAAAAACAACAAGGAGTCTGGTGGCATCTTAAAGACTAACAGATTTATTTGGGCTTAAGCTTTCGTGGGTAAAAAACCTCACTTACACCGATACAAACAAGTTACGGATCACCCTTGAAGTATCAGGGTGCCCCCTTCTGATGTCTTAGGGCCCCCACATAGCCTTGTTCCTGTAGGTTCCATCAAAACATTGCTACTTATCATGCTGTCACCCTGACCTTCTCCGTAAGATGGGTCAACATGTTCCTGTTCTCTTTGGGGAGCGTGTTTATCGGGGTGTTCTGGTACCATCTGGAATGTGCTTGTGTGAGTGCCTAGCACCTCTTAGGAATATGTGTTTTTACAATATCAGCCCCCTGCTTGCCAAATTCGGTGAGCAGGGCCTGCCTCTTGCTCACAACTTAACCTTGCTTTATATCAGCAAGGTTTTGACTACTTTAGACCAGGCCTCAGACCAGGCCTCTGATACATGGGCTCATGTTTCAGGCCCTCTTCCTACTGTAGTGGTTAGTAGTTGAAAGCCGAGCTGGACTCAGTTCATCACACTGGACCTGAACTTTAAGTTTGGATCCAAATGCAAAACTCAGATCCAGTGGTAGCTGACCCAGGCTCCAGCTGGAAACCCAAACGCTGCGGGATCGGAGGAAGGTGAGTCAGTTGTGGCTTTTTCCTTCTTCCCAGGGTTCCACTTGAACAATCAGTTCTGCGAGATCATCACTAACCAATACCGCAACCGTGGGCTGTTCATTGACCTCAACAGCTTCCTGTCCTGCCTGGCGCACCTGACCTGGATTTTCAGTAAGAGATGGCTACGTGCAGTTCTTCCCCCAGAGCCAGAGGCAAAGCTCTAGGTTGCCTGTTTTACCATAGGCCGCAGAAGCCTGTCAGGAGGGATGGTGCTTTATCCCTCCAGGGTGTAGCTGCTGCCTTGTTTAGAGGAGTTAAAATAGGGTTACCATTCGTCCGGATTTACCCGGACATGTCCTCCTTTTGTGTGCTAAAAATAGCGTCTGGGGGGAATTTGTAAAGCACTCACAATGTCCGGGATTTCCCCCTCCCCCGGCAGAGCAGAGCGAGCGGCTGGGAGGGCTGCAGGAAAGTCCCGGGCTGGACTCCGGAGCAGCTTCCTCCTCCCACCCCCCCCCTCCCTGCATTCTGAGCCGGCCGGCAGCTCCTCCTCCTGCAGCCCTGTGCAGGGCCAGGGACCGG